TTATTAAAAAAACACACACTTTATTATTATTATTATTATTATTATTTTGACACAAACCCAACACTTAAATATTTATTAAAGCATCAAGTTTGAAAAATCTTTACAAATAGCCTCTTGAAGTTCAAGAGGGTACTCTTCGAGCCAAACACGACACTCACTGTAATTGCAACTTAATCTCGCTAATATATCCGCTACTCCATTGCCCGCCCTTTTAACAAAAGAAAACACCACTCTTCTACAATCTCTGATGAGCTTCAACACATCCATCACCACTTTGCCGAAAGCATTTGGGGTTATGATACCCTTTTGCAAATGATGGAACAATTTTATATTGTCCGTTTCAAGCATGAAATTCCTGAACCCAGCTTCCTTAGCTATCCGTAAGCAGTGCCTCATTGTTATTGCTTCTCCAATATTCACCTCAAAGGTCCCCTTCAAGCATGAGCAGCAGGCTAGCAGCACATCCCCCACATTGTCTCGTAGCACACCCCCAATTCCCTGCGTCTGTTGATCAAAACAGGAGGCATCTGTATTCAACTTATAGAGGCCTGCACTCGAGGCTTTCCAGGTTGACGCCAACTGCTGAATTGGCTTCTCTATTACAGATTTTATCCTGGCCTTTTCATACTCCCCAACAAGGCTGGACTCTTTATGGATGACATCCACATCATTCTTCCTCCTCCCTTCAAAGACACATCCATTCCTCCTAAGCCAAATCCCCCACGCTAAGCACCAAAATAAATTCCACCATTTTTGACTTTTTAAGTAGCTCCCTCATTGCATTATACCATTCCACAAGCCCCCTCATTCCATCTATCTTTAATTCCTATCTCAAGGCAGAAAAACTCCATATCGAGTGAGCACTTGAACAACCTAGCAACATATACATAACTATTTCATCTTCCTCCCCACACATGGGGCACTTTTGATCATGACACATACCTCTAGCAGCCAGATTGCTTCTCACAGGAATGCTGTTTTTCATGCATCTCCACGCAAAAAACTTGATTTTTTGTGGAATGTGAGACTGCCTTATCTTCTCCCATTTAGTGTCTTGCCTCCCACTTGACTCCCTTTCTTCACACTCGATCAACATGTTGTACGCACTTTTGACCGTGAAATTCACGTCCTTCGAGAAGTGCCATGTCCATCCATCTTCGTCATCAAATATAGGGATTGGGATGCTACAAATATCTAGAACCTCTCTCTGGGAAAACACATCCTTCAATATACTCATATCCAAGCTCCTTTTCACCCACAACTCATTAACATGGGTTGGGGTATTCTCATTCTCAGGCTTTTGAGTTCTTATCCGAAAATTAAGCAGTTTTGGCACCCAAGGGTCATCCCATATACTTATACTGCTTCCCCGTCCCACTAGCTTCTTTGCCCCGTTCTCAATCACATCCTTCACACTTAGTATTGATCTCCAAGTGAAGCTTGAATTCGAGGTACATTAAGCATCCAGATTGGTGAACTTTGGGAAATATTTTCCCTTAATCACACGAGTCATAAAAGACTTTTCATTTGTTAGGATCCTCCATGCCTGTTTTGCTAACATTGCCTTGTTGAAGATTTGCATACTACGAAACCCCATGCCACCCCTGTTTTTAGCCCTATACATTTTGTGCCATGCCACCCAGCAAGTTTTTCTTTCCTCCCCTCGCTGACCCCAAAAGAAATTCCTGCACATTCTTTCAGTCTCCTTTAAAATTCTTCCCGGAATGGAGAAACACTGCATTGCAAACATAGGGATAGCTTGGGCCACCGCTTTTATAAGAATCTCTCTCCCAGCTTGAGATAAGAATTTTTCCTTCCAACCTTTTAGCTTCTTCAAGACCCAATCCTAAATACACTGGAAAATGATTTTTTTAGACCCTCCAATATACGTTGGAAGCCCTAAATATTTTTCATGTCCATCGACAGCCTTAAATGACAACTTCATTTGAAGCATATTTTTCTTCTCACGTTCTATATTTCGGCTAAAGGACACTTCCGACTTTTCCATATTCAGCTCTTGACCAGACGCCACTTCATAGGTTGATAGGATCTCAAGGACTTTGTCACTTTCATCTTCATTTGCCCGAACAAAAAGCAAGCTATCATCTGCAAAAAACAAATGAGAGATTGATAAGTGGCATTTATGCCACTATTCGGGATCCTTTTCCCAACCATTTCCCTCCATTTATCGCTTGTTTAGCCCTATTTTGCCGCGCTTCTCCATATATTGCACAACAATGCTATTTCCCTCGTACTTCCCCTTTACTTTACCTTTTTGTGCTGTTTTTGGGTGTTTTCCTGTGTTTTGCAGGTAAACCAATCGATACGTGAAGTAGAAGAAAGTTCGGGACAGTTTCGAGAGCCGGTTTCAATAGCAAATAAAGTGAGGAGCTTTAATCAGGCTGCGCGCCCAGGAGAGCCCTCTCTCCCGCTCTGTGCGGGCGCGCAACCCAAGGGAGAGGGCGCGCATTCAAGGCCAAATCAGGATGTAAACCTCGTAGATGCCTCGCGCCCTGGAGAGGGCGCGCTACTCATCCTACGCGGGAGCGATGATTCCTGGAGAGGCGCACAAATTAGCTTGAACTCTTGAAGATAGAAGGCAACTTTCTGTAGATGCCAAGCGCGCTTAGTAGAGGGCGCGCAGTATACTTCGCGGGCGCACAGATGTTAGTAGAGGGCGCGCACACGGAAGTTCGCGGGCGCGCAGCCTTTAGTAGAGGGCGCACACATCATCCTGCGCGGGCGCGCAAAGAGCTGTAGCAGGCGCGCACGCCGTCAGCCCAGCCCGTTTTATTTCCCTACTTAAAAGCTGATTTGAAAAGGGAATGAAGGCAGCTATTCCATTTAGGGTAATATGCTTAGAACATTTCTAGAGAGAGAATAGCCTCCATTGATGCTTGTATAAGTTTTTAGAGAGAGAAAATTCAGATTCTTGGTTTTTTATCACCCAAACTTTAATCTTTAATCTAGATTAGTGCTTTAATCATCCTTGTAATCAATATTGGAGCATTCTATTGGATTTTTGATGGTTCACCATTGAAGGTTCAAAGACTCATTTTCTTATTTCAATACAAGGTTGAAGCTTTGTGAGCTCTTTCTATCTTAATCCCTTTTATTTTGGTTTATTTACATATTTCAAGTATTTTTTATTGTTATGTTGATGATTTTGATTATGGCCAATATTTTGGGTATTGTTGATATGAGTAGTTTCTCTCTCCTAGGCTAGACTTTTAGCTAGGGGAAGGGGAATGGATGACTTGGTTGCTATTTGATTAAATAATTGATTTTTGGGGATTTAAACCCTTGTTGTATGAACTTGTGCTTATTGTTATATGGTTGATGTTGTGCACCATTGACTATATTATTACATGTCCTTATTGATGCGCGGGAGTGATCATGTTAGGATAGATCGTAGTTTATACATTGCTTAATCAATTGCATGGGAATGAATTGTGTTAGGTAGGATCCTTTCTCCCTTGGTTGCGAATCCTTGATTATCTATGTGTTTAGCTCTTAATCTCCAAGTTTGACGTTCCCTGATCCCCCTAGCATTTTTAATCTCATAGTTTCCAATACTTGTTAGTCTTTGTTAATTGTTAGAGTAATTTTGGTAGCCTTAGTTTATTTATTGTCTTGTTTTCCACCACTCTTATTCATATACACCCCTTTTAAAACTCTATTGTTAGCACTTAGCGTTGCAATCTCCCGTTTCTCCGTGGATCTTGACCCTTGCTTGCCTCTATACTCATTTAGGTAATCTAGGATTAATTTGATAGGAAGGTGTATTGACGACGACATTTCGCTCCTCATCAAAGATTGGCTCTACATGCCTCCCAATTTTCACCCCATGAATGATTTCTTTTTTTCTGCATCACTAAGAAGCGTCGATAATCCCTTCGCACACATGATGAAGAGAAAAGGGGATAGAGGGTCTTCCTGTTGGAGTCCCCTACTTGACTGAAACTTCTGAGACGGTTGCCCATTCACCAAGACCTCAAAAGAAGCCGATGACACACAGTTCATAATATTCATCAGAAAGGTGTCCGGAAAGCCAAATTTTTCCTATCATTTTTCTCAAAAAATCCCATTATACTCTATCGTACGCTTTACTCATATCGAGCTTCAAGCCTAAATACCCTTTCTTCCTAGTCTTCTTTCTTCTTAGATAATGAAAGCACTCATAAGCAACAAGAATATTGTCAGTGATTAATCTGCCCGAGACAAAACCACTTTGAGTTTCACAAATAATAGTAGGTAGTACGTTTTTTAGTCTATTTGCCAGAGTTTTAGCTATTACTTTATACAATACATTGCACAGACTAATAGGCCTATAATCAGCAGGAGACTCACACACGTCTTTTTTCGGAATTAAAACTACATGATTCTGATTAATATGACCTATATCTCCTACATTATTTAAGATACTCAAAGAATTATTAATCACATCAACGCCAATAATGTTCCAAAATTTTTGATAGAAAATTGCTGACATACCATCTGGACCCGGAGCTTTCGTAGGATGCATTTGAAATTGGGCTTCTCGGACTTCCTCTCCCTTAAAAGGAGCTATCAACTCTTAGTATTGCTCTTCCGAAATTTTTGTATCCACCTTGTCAATGACTTCCTGCGCTTCTCGATGCCCACCCGAAGTGAATAATCTTCAAAATGTTTTGCCAACACTTCTGAGATCTGAGATTCATCCTTGTAACTATTTCCAGCCGCATCTTTTATCACCCGAATCTGATTTCTAGCTCTCCTCTAACTTACCTTTTGATGGAAAAATTTTGTGTTTTTGTCCCCTTCACGAATCCAGTTTTGTCTACTACACTGTCTCCAATATAGATCTTCTCTATGTTCAAGCTCATCCATTCGGTCAGCAAGTGTTCGCATCTGAGCTATAATGTCATCAGTTTGGTCCATTTTCATCAACTCCTCCATTTGGGCTCGACAGTCTTTTAATTCTTTCAAAAAGTCACCAAACTTGTTTCGACTCTAGGCACTCAAATTATGGATGTATGGGCGATTTTTGAGCATATATCTCCACCTCGACTCAACGCATTTTCCACAATGTCAGCACACATTTCCTCTCTTAGCCACATCTCCTCGAACTTGAAGCGTTTTTTGAATTTTTTCTTCTTAGCCTTTCCCACACCGTCACTGATACATAACAGTATAGGAACATGATCAGATTTACGCTTTGAGAGATGGGTTACAAAAGCACCAGAGAAAAGTTGCCTCCATTCTTTGTTTTCAAGGAACCTATCGAGCCTCTCTTGGACATTCTTCTCACCACCTCTATTATTAGTCCACGTGAAGGGATGTCCCAAATATCCCAAGTCTTCCAGCTCACACACATTAACAACATTTCTCATAATTTCAGCCTCCACGAGATTGAATTCCTTCCCTCCCTTTTTTTCATCAGATGTGAGCATAAGGTTTAGAGCACCCCCACAAATCCACGGACCACTGTGCTTACTGTGGAGGTTTTCCAGAAGAAGGCCCGTTTTATGCTTATTTTCTTCCTCGTGATGTCCATAAATTCCTGTGAACCTCCATCTTATATTGCTCCCCCACTCCACCCAAGCATCAATGTGGTTTAAGGAAAAGGATTTGATCTCCACATCTAGAGTGTCCTTCCATAACAAAGCAACTCCTCCACTACGCTTCCTTCCCACCCCATCACAGCAAACTGGCACCATATTATTGAACTTCATCTTTACTTTTATTTTCTCCATCTCATTACTCTTCAACCTCGTTTCAGATAGAAACAACAATTGGGGTTTTTCTAGGAAAACAACATTTTTAAGAGCATTCACCGCCGAGGTATTCCCCAAACCTCTACAATTCCATGAGAGAGCGTAATTCATTGTTCACCGAGAGCCCATGGTGTGGGGCCCGCCACCTTTCTCCTTTTATTTGTTTCATCAGTAGTTGTATCAACGTCCATCTGCATATCATCCTCCCCAACCCCCTCACCTTCCCAGCTTTCTCTTTTGTTTCCTGCCAAGCTTTTGTCCCCTCCCCCTCCATTTCTTTTCCCCTTTAAGATTTTTACCTTCCTTGAGTTCCTGCCCTTACTTTCCTTTTTAACCCCCTGCACCTCAACATTCCCCTCTGCTAAGTCATCAAACTTCACCTCCTGCGCTGCTCTAAAGATAGTATCTTTCACCAGTAACTCTACCCCTCCCTCCCCTACACTAGTCTCCACCTTTTTATCCCCCTCCCTTCCCTCTCCTCTCCTGCTTGGCCTTCTTTTTTATTTTTTGTCGCTCCCTCTTCCACTACAGCATCATCACCCTCTCTCCTTCTCAGCCCCACTGTCCGTAGCACCGCCATCTCCCCCTCACCTTTATGCACCATCATAACCTTAGATTCCCTACCCTGAGCAAAACACTCCTCAGTAACATCCCCCTTTGTATTCATTGATGGGAATATAAGTCTTTTCGCAGCACTTACAGGCCCCAATTTTATCACATTTGGGTCATTATAGCTTACTAATTTTGTTGCATTGCATGTGGACCTTAGTTTATCCACCTAAGATTTTTCTAGCTCTCTTTCCCTTGCCTCGATCTTGCTCCTCTTCTTTGGTGAGGCATGAAAGGAATGGTGTCCTTCCAACAAGTGTATTATTCTGATAGAGGGTTCAGAATTATTACAGAGCTAATTCTTCAGTGAGGTCAAGTGATCGGAATGCCTAGGTGGAGGCCGCTTTCGATCAGTAATATTAAGGTATAATTAATATTACAGCTTAATCTTAACTGAACCCTTCGGGTCGAACCCAATCGAACAACCGATCCGAGATGACGAATTAATCCGAAGGATTTAATGAGTCGACAGAGTTTTACGAATACAGACTTCGGATATCGAGCCTAGGGCGTCGAGACCGAGCGTCACAAAATCACAAGCAACAAGTATGAGTGTGGCCGTAGCTAGGCTAGGCTAGCTCATCGCAAGCCTAGGCGCAACATGTGTGTGCTAGGCGCACCATGGTGTGCAAGGCGAGGCATGAGTACCTAGGCGCTATCGCATCCCTAGCATGATTCCTAGGCACCATCGCTACCCTATCGCACCAAACACAGCACCCATGTGTGTGTGCATGTGCGTAGGCACTATCGCAGCACACTAGCACCACGCACAGCACAATCGCAATGCTGGGCACTAGCGCATTTGCGTGTGCGTGAATGCCTGGCACCATCGCAGGCCATTGCGTCCCTCGCACCATCGCATGCCATAGCATGCCTCGCACCATCGCCCACCACGCACGCTAGGCCCTTGCGTGCTTAGGCACTCTGGCTGGGCTAGCAGTACGTGTGGTGCGTATGTGTGTTGGTGCGCATGCATGTGGTGCGTGTGCTGGGTATGCGCTGCTAGCAAGTGCGTGACCTTGGCTATGCGTAGCAGTGTGAGTGTGCGAGAGATTGCGTGGGAGTGCTAGGCCAGTGCCAGCATGCTAGCACAACACAGCACTAGCACGCAGCACCAGCGCCAAGCATCGCCCAGCGCCAGCACGCATTGCCTAGCTGGGGATGCGAGGCTGCTGGTTGGGCTGGTGCTAGCTGGCTGGGCTAGCTGGCACTGCTAGCTGGCGTGCTAGCTGGCAGCAACCCAGCAGCCCTTGTTTTAGGCAGTTTTTGGTGAGTGGGGACCATTACTTGGAGCAATGGCTTGGGGATCAAGGCAATGGTCCCCCCCAAGCCTTTGGTCTCACCTAACTCTCTCTCTCTCTCCTTGACACTTGTTGCATTGTGATTGATTTAATTATTAATTTATTTTGGAAATAAATTAATTATCAAAATTACTCAATCTCCCACATTGGTTGGGAAATGAAGTTCAAGGGTGCATTTCCCTATAAATACCAAAGGTATGGGTATTGGGAAAGACACAACCTTGAGTGGAATGAAAAGGCAATTCTTAATTTGAGTAAACCTTAATTCGTAAAACTCATAGTTTTATTTGTCCGGGTCTCGACTAACCTTCGAGACTTAGGACGCTCGGGTCGGGTTTGAGGGTACGATCCCGTCGGAGGCCTCGTGTTTTCGAGGTTCAAGTAAGAGCTCATAGTTTAGCGAAGCACGCATCAAAGGTATAATCTTTTATCCTTTCTTGTGTTTTAATTTTGTTTTGCTTGTTAATTGCATTTATTATGGGGGCACGTCTTGGCGGGTTTCTTTCCGCGTAGTGACGGTCACTACGATACCTTACAGCGGTATCGGAGCCATGCTCCTTTTAATTTTTGCAATTACTTATTAATTAAGGTGTTTTAAAAGAGTTTATTTTTCTGGTTCATGTTCTTCTAATTAGATTAGAAGCTCGTTTTAATTAATTTTAAAACTCGGTTTTATTTTCGATTTGGCTGTCGAACCCAGATTTTGGCTCAAAAATAGTGAATTTTGGTCGGAATCGACCTTCTGAAACAGTTTCAACCCATTTAAGGGCTGTCCAGAAGCCAAATTCAAACCAGAAACCCATTTTTTCTGGGGTTTTTCGTTTTTCAACAAAAATTTTAATTCTTTTTAAGCCTTGATTAATGCAAGCATTACAAGGTTAGATTAAATGCACATTTGCATCACTAATCTATTGGTTTTAAATATATCCTTAAACATAATAATGGAGTTTTTTTTATTAGTGCTTAAGTTGATATACCATTTTTCACATAAACTTGTTTTTCACAAATTTTGCAAATAAATTGCAATAAAATGTGAAAACTTGTTGTGAACTTGTAATTTTAAGTTCCTAAAATGTTAAAGTTCTAATCTTTAAAGGTTTAAATGATTGGAACCCTGACCCTAAATTCCATATTGAACAAAGTTTGTATTTTTCATGTTTGGTTGATTAAAATCCATCAAGTTCAAATACTTGTGAGTAATATTTGATTAATCTTCATATTTGAAGATGTAATCTTGTTATTTTACACAAGTATGAAAGTTGGAAAATTTTTATCATTAGATGGTTAATTTATTTTTCCAACTCCCATTTGTCAAATCCATTATTAATTTGCATATTGGCAAAATTAATTATGGACATAGCTATTTCAATTTTAAGCATAAAGGAAAACCTAAATTATTTCAAAATAAATTTTGGATGATTTAGGCTTGTGCATCGTTAAATTGAAATTAATTAAGTTGGACTTATTTTATTCTCATTTTGCCCTTAAATTAATTGTAAAATAAATTTAGATTAATTTTATGTCACACATAAATCGGAATAAAATCCCGAGAAATGGCACGCAAATCGAGGCAAAAACACCCAAGCGCCACCAAGGCTAGCCGGGCTGCCTAGCAGCCCACATGTGGCTGTCTATGGTGCGCACAGGGGTGTGCCTTGAGTGGCTGCTGTGTGCTAGGGAGGCTTGGGGCTGATGTGCGTGGAGCAATGGAAAGGGGCTGGCTTGCAAGGGGATGCTGCTGGGCAGCATGGCAGCAAGCACCAGCCCAGCGCACCACTTGCTGGCAGGCGCCAGCTTGCTAGCCAGCATGCGTAGCATGCCTGGCAGGCTGCTGGTGCTAGCAGCGTGGCCTGCTGCGCTGGGCGCAGCATGCTAGCATCACGCACCATAGCACAAGGCGTGGGCTGCCTAGCAGCCATGGTGCGCACCCACCAGGTGCTTGTGTGGGGTTTTTTCTTGATTTTGAGCTATGTAATTTTGCGAAAATTTTTGCCGTTTTAAATTATTTATGTAATTATTTTAACGAGGTTACACCTCAGTTTTTCCGGCTTTTGCAAAATTTTGACTTTGACAAATTATGGGTTATGCCGACTTAATTAATCAAATGGATGCAAAATTTAGTGGGAGCTTAGTTAATTACGTGAGCAATTTGCGTTTAGAAACAATGGATTAAACAATTTTGACTAGTTTTAATTAGGCGCGTTAATTGGATTAACCACCTAAGTTAGTTACTAGTTTTGCGTGTTTAATTATGTATTTCGTAATTTGCATGGGCCATTCACAAATAGTGAATGGGTGAATGGAAGATTGTTTTCAAAATAGGTTATTGAAAATGGTAACTAGTGAGGCCCGACTAGGATAGAAAATACGGACTGCGTTCCGTTATGTATTTTTGTAAATCTAAATACGGTCTGCGAACCGTTAAGTATTTTTGTACTTTAGATTAATCTTAGTCGTTCTAGCTAGCTTATTTATTTTGGCCAAGATGTCTCAAGACGACGTTTCGATGAAGACGAGCCAATATGAAGACCCATTGAAATTGAAGATTTCAAGGGGTCATGCTAGTTGCCAAATGCATCTATTTTTATGCTTTATATATATATTGTTATATATGAATGTTAGATGCATGTCTAGGATTTCTATATGTTGCGACGATTAGTTAAGTTCACTTAAATCAAACCAACATAGAAACCCTAGGTCCCTTAATAATATTGAGCTAAAATTTGTCGTTCCAAGAACAACACTTACCGAACTAATGCGCATATGTGATGGGCTACGCCAAAGCGAGGCATCACTACTTCCCTAGGAACGTAAGGTATACTAGGTATACAAGTTGTCTTGGTTAAGCTCAACGATATCAGTAAGGAGTCCTTAGATGTCGTGGCAAAAGAGATAAAATGTCAAGGATGCATTAGATACGACATTTTATCAAACCGAGAGTAGCTTGGAGCTATTAGCAATTGGATTGCTTACCTTAAGATATTTAATGATTAAGACAAGCGAAATCATGATTAACCATTTCTTGATCTTTGGGATCTCAGAATCATTTATTCTCGCCCATAAGGGACAATTTATGAATGCGTGGACAAAATGCTCAATAAGATTGAAAATATGCATGAACGCTTTTAAATTTCAACTTATTGGATTATGAATGGTTTTTCATTTCAAGTTCTTTCAATTGTAGAACAATGTCTGCAAGTA